TTTTTTTTTTTTTTTTTTTATTCTTGTCACTAAAAAACACGGACCCACATTCCGACACACTCTCCAGAAAATGTCGTTAGCAAGTCCAAGGAAACCACTCCTCCAGCAGTCCGTTCGAGTCTAAGTCCTGCAAGTCGAACCTGCATCAAAACTGAATTCACAACAGCCCTTCCCTCTCTGGCTTTCACGTGAAACCATATCTGCCAAGGAGCAGTTCCTGGAGGAGGGGCGTAAGCGGATGCTTGAGGAAGCTGCTGTGCTGCTGCCATTCCTCTTTTTCTGTCTGCTCCCTGCTCACCGTGCAGGTTGTGCACCATGCACCGAAGTAATCGACCTTGGAAGAGCGTTGCTTTTGCATGTTTGCCCAAGCAGGTTCAACAACGTCTGAGCTGCTCTTTGCTACGAGTGGCAGGGGAAGGGGACTGCACCTTCGGCGTGAGGCAAACTGTTCTGGAGTCCACACGAGCGCGCGTTGGCGCCGCACCCATCTTGAAACTAGGCGAAAAATCCTTTCAGGAGCCTTGATTTGTGCAATGGCTGGCAAAAGCTGGAGTAAGCCTTCTGAAGCCGCTCAAATTCATCAGTCAATCCTCCGCTCTGCATTTTCCAGCACCAGTGGCGCAGATCGACTCTACTGCATGAAGCCAGGGCTGAGGTGAAATCCAAGTACAATTAATACACCGCCGGCTTTTCGCCTGTAGCATGTCAACTTCTACCCCAATTCGTGGAAATTCTATTAAAATGTATCCAATTTCAACCCTTTCCCTCACAGTGAAAGTCCAACTGGGGGTCACCTCGTCTAGCCTGGGTCGGAAGTATGAGTCTACTGTGCCCTGGTAGCTGCTTCGGCATGGCCGAAGCGCCTTGGTGAAACCGTGGAACTTCTCGTCACAGGGGTTCTGTCAGGTTTCTGCTAGCTTCTGGCGGGGTACGGGGGGCTGGACATGTCATGGAAATTCCGAGGAGGCAACAAAAGTCCTACTCTGGCCGGAACCGCCTTTATCCTAGGTTCTTGGCAAGGAATCCCTGCTCATGTCCCTACCACTCCACTCCACCATTCAGACCATTCCCAACCAAGAACCTCGGAATTTAACGGCCTGGCGTGTGCACCATGCTTCGACCAACTCGCGCCATTCGGGACGAGTGTTCACTGCGCGCTCTTCCCCGGCTTTTATCTCGATATGCGCCACCAGAATTTTTGTCCAGCCTGGGCAACTGTCAAAGCGAGCTGGATCGAATGATTCAACGCCATACCCCACAGGCAAATTTCACATCCAAGTTGCTGCCGCTGCGGTGCAGCAACCCCTTGTGCGCGCAGGATTTGGCGCTGCCCCGGTGACCGAACGTCACCCACCGAGGGCTGGCGCTGGCCGCCCAAAGCGTTTGCCTGCACATTAGTATAACGGTGTAAGTTGTCACGGCATGATCCGATCCTCAGTCTTTGAACAGCCTCGAGGGAGGACTTCCTTCTCAGCGGCGGACAGGTGCTCCCGCGCACTTGCGATGGGCTGGAATTGCCTAGCAGCTAAGGTTATCAAAACACATGGAAGCTTTCCACGTCAAATGGAGCACCTGGTGGCTCCCTTGGCTCCCGCAGCGGAGCGGGCGGCGGCGCCAGAGGTGGAGGCGCCACGCCGTTCCGTGCCAGCGCTAACGGACGGCGAGCAGCCCGCTCAGGAATGCTGCGCAGGGACTTGTCCTTCCAAGCCTGACAAGATCGGATTGAAGCCGCCTCTTGCCTGCCTTGCGCTTGCCTTGGCCGCAAAAAGTCGGGAAGTGCCCGCGTTCTGCTGCAGCTGTGCTAAGCCTCTGATCTGTGAAGCCAAAGGGACCTCACAGGGGATCTAGTCCTACTCTGTCCTTATTTAGCTCGCAGTCTGCAAGCAGCGCTGCCTCCAAGGCCCGCCAGTTGATCTTATCTTGCATCGGAAAATCGTCCGTAGCCTCTTCGGACACCGACAGATTTCCGCTGTTCACACGTTCCTGTTCCTGCCCATCCTCGTCTTTCCTGAATGAGGCACTCAGCTGTGGAAGCACAATCCGTTGACCACTCAGTACCCTTCAGGATTCGTGTCAAGGAGATTTTCACAGAAAGGAACTCTTCCTAAATCTCTCTGCCGCAGAGAGTCGATGGTGCCCATGCCTGCATGACTCGCAGTGGCCCGCGCTGCTGCACTGGAGAAGACTCTGCCAAAGTGCTCCCCAACAGGAAGACACGTCCTTACCCGGCATCACGATGCGCTTCCTCTCCTCTCTTGCTCTCACGCGTAAATGGCTTTCGACTGTACATCCCTTGGCAGAGGCCGAAATGCAGCTGAGCTGCCTGGCATTTCTTCTTGCTTCTCCTTGGAGAGCTGCTGCCGCTGTTCGTGGATGTGAGCATTTCGGAGCCGAAGCTGCTCTCTGAGCATAGCGATCTCCTTCAAAGAAGTGGGTGCGCAGCTGTCACATGGCCTCAAAATGCGTCCTGGTCCGACTGCTCCAGCTGTTGTCGGTGAATCTCCCAGAAATGATCCAGCTCAAGCCTCTGGACTTCCAGGACCTCACATGAGCTGTTAAACAGAAGTGTTCGAACCACAAGAGGCATGGCATACTTCAACTTTGAGTATACAGCCTGCCTGAACCCGCTGGATGAGCTCCAGGAAAGCTCTAAGATCCTGCAGCGCTCTAAACTCTGCTTTCCATGCGAAGGCACATTTAGAGCCAGGCTTTGCGCGGACCTCGTTGAGGACGCGCTGGGAAAGCTGCTTCTGCAGTTCCTTGCCTGGTGCACTTTCTCATCATTGGCATGATTGGCTGCTTTCGGCAGCCTACGGGTTGCACGTGCGCCTGCAATCTTGTTCTGCTGGAGACGTTCATTCAAGGATCTTCTTGTTTCAATGTTCTCCTGCAAGTGGGTTCTTGATGCTGAAGCGTCCTCATTCAGTTTTTCAGTCTTCAGAGTCGGTCCTTGATGTTTTCTTCGATCTGAGCAGTGGCCTCTTTCCACTCCTCCAAAGATCTGGCATCGGAGCCTCCAAATAAGCCACTGATAGATACCCGGTAGGTCATACAGAGTGGAGCCATACCACGGCCCCATTTGTGCAACGCAGCCAAGCAGCGGCGATTTGAAGGTGAGCTGCCTCCAGATCGTTCTTCCCAATGCACGATGATCTCCTGGGCACTACGTCGAAGGCACAATAAAAATCAGCATTGAAAGGCAGCGGTTGTTACGATTGCTCCTAACATTTCAGGTGACATGATATTCTAATGGATTCTGTTCACATGATCTGCTAGCCGTTACATCCTCGAGTACTACTCGTTCTTCTACTGCCATTGCAAAGCTTCTACAACCACATCAACCGCAACAGCAGGGCGCACCCCAAACAAACAGCAACAGAATCTGAATGAAGTCGATCACAAGAGGAGAAGAAGAAACGATCCCCGTGTCAGAGCAAGCGGCAAAAAACTGACCCCTTTTGGGGGGGTCTAGTGCAGGGGTGAAGTGGAGGCAGCCGCAGGGCAATATTTTCTAGCAAAGTCCGACCCATGAACGGCAGGCAGGTCTTTGTAGACCTCCGCGTTCTCATCATGTGCCGTTGTTGGTGTGGCCGGTGGATTGTTGTTGTTGTTGTTGCTGCTGTAGTTCTTGTTGTTGGTGGTGGCATATCGTGACACGGGAGGATTTGGCATTGGCGTGCTGAACGTTTTTTTTGAAAGGCACGATTTCGAGCAACACCGCGCATTCCCTATTGAAAAGCCAAAGCCTTCAAATGTTTGCCCATAAAGTTCAAGCACATATATGCGCTTTGCTGGCTAGGTAAGGCGTGAAATGCTGAACCCTGGACCTGGAATCCGTGAAACCCAACTCCATTCGCTAAAGCCTTTTGGCATCCTGCCAGAAAGAGCTTCCACTGAACCCTATACCCTAAACCCCAAACCCCCATAATCCAAATCCCTAAGCCTTTTGCGACATCCAGCCTCTACAAACTCTAAGCCCTGAAGCACTGATCCCTGGCAGCGTTGCGCCTTAGCCTGCTCCAGCTCCACTCTCCACTGAACCAAGCCGCGCTCAACATCAATGAGAGAGCCTGGGCAAACGATCGACCCATAGAATAGACCCGAAATATCCCCCTCAGTGAGCCTCAATAGAAAGCCCTTTAAGGAGTTTAGACGATAGCTCATATGACCCCCCCCCAGAATTGAAAGAGTTGAGACCCGGACGCTGCAGTGAGGTGCGGCTTTCCAAGTTCCGAATAACCTCCAGCTTCCAGTTCTCGCTGGCCTCCTTCAAGAGGTTCTCGTCACCTTGGCTCATGGATGGTCAGGCCACTGAGCCTCTCAGAGCCTCGCCTCAAACTGAGCAGTGTTCCAACACGCTCTAGACATCTCTGGACCCAGTTCTAACAATGTCTGAAGCAAGATGGGAAAGTCTGGCCTTCCATGGCGTCGCTTGGAGCCTCCCTTCGTTGCGCCAGTTTGGACTTCAGGATGGAGACTTCGTTGCGCAAGTCGGCGATGGCCTGCTCGAACTGGCTCACATGCTCGTCTGGCCGGACCACGTTCTGCTTGGCACGGACCCGGATGTTCTTTGCCCGGTTTGCGTACTTCAAGGTGTTGAGGGTGTCTTCATAACTGAGGTGGCTAGGAGAAATATTTGCTATCATGACAGTGCGACAGTTGCCGCCAAGCGAGTCCTTGAGAAGCCTGGTCAGCTTCGAATCTCGGTATGGTACAAACTGGGACCCAGAGGCCAGGGCGTTTATGCAGTTCCCGAGAGCCAGCAAGGAGCGGTTGATGTTCGCCCCCTCCAGCAATCGGACTCCGCTGTTGTTGGTTTGCGACGCGCGCTCCGATCCAGCAAGATCTATCATTGACAGCTTGCCAATCAAAGTGCCCGAAGAGGGATTGCCCCTTCGCTCCACGCGAACCTGCAGAACGGCATGCGACCTGGATGAAGTTACATTCATGGAGGTCGGTTCAGTGGTGCGCCGCTGGTTGCCCATCTGGAGGAGGTCCTTAGATGTCTAGTGCGCTCTCCTATAATGCATCAAACAAGCATTTTGCAACCCTCAATCCCTCCATCCTCCTCCTATATAACTGCACGGTATCGCCAGTGAAGCCGAAGATCCATCACTTCCTGAACTGACTCTGCGCGGATCTCTGTGATACCTGCGACATAAGTTCCGGTCACTGGATCCTCGCGCAGGTCCAGAATACCATCTCTGCCATCGCCGGATCCCAGGTCCCGCAGATTTTCATTGTAGACTTCAACGAAGGTACAAGTTACTGAAAAGGTATATTCGCCAGGTTCAGCGACTCCAACAAATATCTCTTCAACAGTTCGGAACATAATGCCCGGCTCGATCGGAGTCCCTATCATGGTGAAAGTCTTTCCAGCCCCAGTGGAACCATAAGCGAAAACAGTGGCATTGTAGCCTTGCAGAACCTTGGCTCAACTGACATCCAAGGGCTCATCTTACGTTGAGCACCCTGAAGCATCGGCTGCTTGTTGTACATTGTACATGAAGCGGAGATGCTTTACCGCCCGTAGTCCTACCCCAGGAACTGCTACAAAGAAGGCTTGCAGGCAAGCTGCCGACTTGATCGACGGCTCCGCAGTGGCTTTGAAAAGAGTTTTGGTATCAACGTCCGAACCGAAGGCTTGATCGAACGCAAAGCGTTTCTCCTTCGACTTGTCTTGCCGAAGGTAGTCATTGGCAGCCGATGCTCCTCCACACTCTCACATCATCCATGGTCCCAGCATGCCCCCGACAAAACCTTGCACACTGCCAGCAAGCAAGTAGTCCTGGGTCCAACAAGATCACCAGACGCCTGTCCATGACCCTGCAGATGCTCTGTACATTGTTGCCTCGTTCCTGGGCCATGCGCATGCTTCTCAAGTTGTGCGCACACGGATTTTGGTGGACTACTGCCCAGTTGCAGTCTCTGACAGTGGCCGACAGCGCACTGCCACGTTGATGCGGCTCGATGCCTCCTTAGACAGTCGTGAGATTGTAGAGGAGGCGCACAAATAAACACAATCTCCCTCACATCATAAGGCCAGATATTGGGCCTACTTGCTTCCAGCTTCATCTCCCTCACTGGCCACAGCCATAGGAGGGATGCATCGGGGCACATCGCTGGCTGCCCAAGGCACCGAGCAAACGTGTGAATTTGACAAGGGCACGGCTGAAAAGTGCAAGCTTCAGCTTTTGGCTCGTGGGATATTAGTTGTGGAATCTGTGATAATCTGTGTGTCGCAAAATTATGTGCGTTCCCACATCTTTTCCAAACTTGCTTTGGTTGCTTTCTTGGCGTGGTCGCTTCACAAGAGTGGATCAGGGCCAAGCATGCCGTCTCACCAGCTGCTATCAAAAGATCATGAGGGGGTCTGTCTTTCGAGGTCGTGAACTTGTTTTCTGTTCAAATGTTTGATCTGTTCGAGGCGCAGTGAAGCTGCGACAGGCTGGTCTTGACTGTTACAAACCGGCAGATCGCACCGCACACCATGGAGCAACAGTTCTGTCTGCTGCCGCACTTTCTGTGGTTATGGTGAAACGGCCAGGCTTTGGGCTGGTACCATGGCGTCGAATGACAGCTACGCAGCTGCCACAAACAACTGCCAAGGCCCTAATTCACTCAAAGCCAGCAACCTGTCGAACGCACACATACCTTCCTGCCTTTCTACAAATCCTTGCTGACATGGCTTGGACGTGCTGCCTGCCTTACTTGGCGGTAGCGTGCCCTTTTCTCGTGCCTGCCACAGGCGAAGGGCACGCAGCGGCGTGCAGATGGAGTCCCTGACTTGGTTCCATTGCCCAGCGAGCCTGGCGGATGAAGTCCATGAGCTCCGCTCGCTCTCTCTCCTACAAAAACACCACCAGCAAATTCCTCAACATCCTATGTTTGTATGACTTCTCCACTCTGACATGTCCTTTCTGGCATAGTGCTGCCAGGTCCGGTGCACGGACGCATTCCATGTCTGCACGACAGCCACGCTCAAGTAGAGGCAGGCACCTTGCAGCCCAGCGCTGATGCACGGGAGCAGTGCCCCAACCTAAGGCACCCACCAATGGTTGCAGTTGCTGACACTCGCCAGATTACGTCATAGACCTGCAGGAGACCACTGCAGCATGGGTTGTGCAGATGCACGGTCAAGCTAACCTAAGTCTGATGGCCGGCCTTGTACCTGTACAGAGCGAAGCTGTACCAATTGAACTTTTTGTACCACGGCACATGCGCTTGTCGAAGGATTGTGCTCCTCAACCTGACAACGCACATGGGTGTCAAAGAATTGGTTCATTGCAGAGGATTTGCTGCGACTTTGTCTGATCCAAGTGCGGCGCATGAGGGCTTCCTGGTCTCGGGCAGCAACTAAGGCGTGGCAATTGAATCAGGAACGCTGAGGCACAGCAATGGATACCTAGCCAAGGAATAAGAAGCCCTTGGCACTTGGGCTTCGAGAGCCTCTACATCTTCTGGCCCCATTTTCTTTTAGCCTGAGCTAGTGTGACGCCATGAGGGCCCTCTGCTTTGACCGGGTGCTGCCATCCGCGTTCTATGGCGGGCTCCCGCAGAGCGTTGCAAATTGTCTTTGGCCGCTTGTCTGTACAAGTTCGAAGCATTCCCTTTTGGCTCTTCTTGACGCAGTCAGGTCTTGTCAATCTTTGAACCATTTGACTTGACCGGCGCCTGAAGCAATGATTCTGAAACAGTAGCTTTCAAAAAGCAAAGGGGCTAGCCGAGGGTCATGCTTGACGTCTCTAATTACACCCATGCACTCACGTGATCCGTGAAAAACGTACTCTCGGCTTAAAATGCCAAGGCATGGGCTAACCGCGCGGGCAGTGGTTTACTGCCTGGGGTGTAGAGCCGAGTCGGATTTGCCTTTCTGTCCAAGCCGCCATGTGCCTATCTACCATTTCCTCCTCAACCGTCCCAAGCATGCACAGGCGCCAAACGTGCACTATCGATTGCTGACCAGTTCGCCAGCATCGTCCAATTGCCTGCTCCTCGAAGTCAACGCTTGTCTCGTCCCCACCCCTCCTGGTGGGCTGTGCCAGAATGATGTGATTTGCAATGGTTAAGTTCAAGCCGCTTGGAGAAATTTCCTGAGGCAGGGCACGCGCAAAGAACAAAGCGAGTTAGGAATGTATCACGATGAGCCAGAAAACTGGGCAACATGCTGCAAGCCCTGGCCAGGAGTCCATGGACAACAGCATCACATTCGTATGCGGAGATTCTGCAAAGCGTGCGACAGCCTTCGAGCGCTCTAAGGCGTCGCCCTTCAACGTGACATGCTCAACTCCGAAGGACCAAAAGGCAGCCTCGCTGACTCACCCAGAGATGTGCACAACACGCTTTGTCATCTTACGGTCTCCACTTTATTCAATGTGCATTTTTAAAGGTGATGGAGCCACACCCTGCCAAAGTGTGTTTGACCAAAAGCAGCTGCAACCAAAGACTATTAGATAGATTAGAGTCATCTGCTGTTATGCGAAGATCTTCAGATTGGCAGAACACCAAAATCTTCGCGCCGGACTGGCTGTCCCAAATCCTGAGAAGGCCATGGGCCATGGCCCCCAGCAAGACTTCAGCTAAGGCTTCTTTGATGCAACTGAGCACGAGACCCATGAATCGTCTCCATTACAGACTGAAGCTTTGATCCATAGGCGCTGTACATCTCTGAAGACTGCCTTCGGTTGTGGTGTTGACCCAGTTTCTGCACCAAACTGCGCGTGTCAGGCAGCTTCTGCATAAAGGCTTTGGGAATCTCAACGGACACCACCCGTGTGATCAAGACCTCGCAGCGGCAAATCGGACACCGCCCGTCCTGGTAGAGGCAAATGCTCCAGCACCTCAAACACGCTTTGTGGGCACAGGGCGCAATACCGCACTCACTCCAGGGCAAATCGTCATAGCAAATCGGACACTCGAAATGGTCTTCTGTGTCTTGAAGTGATCGCTCGAACAGGAGGGACTTTGTGAGGTGCTGCTCCAGATTGCGCAAACCTCAGGGCAACATGACACAAAACCAACTTTAGCTCTGCGCCCTTTGTACCAAGTCAGCCGGAATGCAGCATAACTCGTTGCGACATTCTCTGTCGATAGCCGAAAGAAGCTTTTCGAAGGTGATTCTTGCTCCAGCAGTCGCGAGAACGTCATTTCGGTGGATCTGCTTCTGCTTGGCGGCCTCTTCAATACACTTCGTGCGCATGTCCTGGGTGTCTGGACAGCTGCCACTGACATGCAGAACAATAGACACAGCAGTCATAAACATACTTCTTACTTCTTACCATGAAGGGGCACATTGTGCTGAGGCCATGGCACTTGCAGTCTTTTTGCCATCGCTGTTGCGCGTTTCCTCGTTCAAGTGTCTGCTACTTTGCAACCTGCAGCGTCGAGCTTTGGAAGGCCTCAAAACAATCCCTATGCTTCCCCAGGTCCCATGTGCCATTGCTGTAGGCATTCCCCCCCCAGGAAGGCGACTCATAAGTTTGAGAAACTCCCAGAAACCGCTTGGGAACCCCTGCCTTGACTTGAGCTCATCTAAGTGTTGCAATCCAAAGCCAGAGGCTGACCCCAGCTCACTCGGTCCGTCAGCCGGCCGCCTGGTCCAAAAGAGCACCGCAAATTTCACTGGTAGTATGCATCCAGTGTATGTAATGCAAACCGCCGAGAACTTGGGCGGAAAATTGATATCAACCCCATATGAAGCCAACCCCCCCTTGGCACACAATGCGCACGCAAATGAGATTTCAGCAAATTTCAGCCGTACTGAGCTTCATCTAAGAGGCCATGCAGGCCTTGCACACTGATGGCTTCTGTTTACTGAAGCCACGGGCTGACAGTTAAATTAGTACGGCATGGCACAAGAGCCTGGCGCTTTTACAACTTGAACCTGGGCAAGGTGTCGTTGGAACCCATGGCGCAGTTCTCCAAGAGCTGCCGGTAAGCGCGGAAGTAAGCTTCTATTTTCACGGAATGCTCGAAGAGCAGGTCATCATATCTCCGAGTCTCCTCTTGATCCTTCTTCAGCATTTCCAGGCAGACTTGCTCAGGAGTTTTCAGTGTGCGCCTGGGGCTCCCCTCAGAGTGGATGAAATGAAGCGAAGCAGAGTCCCACAATATGTTGGGTGCGGAATAGCTTTCCCTCTCACGCTGAAGATACAGGGCGCGTTCATGTCGCGATTGTAGGACTTCGACTTTATGTTGCACAACATCTGGCAACTTCATGGAGTTCTTGTTCTGCCGGACCATCTTCTCAATAAATAGGCGACAGTCCTGGTCTCTTCCAGTTATACCGAAACAATCCGAAACATGAACCCTCCGCTATTCGCCTACACTGGCTTCAGACCTGCAACCAACCCTAAGGATCCCAGGATTCAACACCTCAGCAAGCATGTTTTAGCTGAAGACCTGCTCAGTGCGCTGGATCTTCATCTGAAAGAACGTGGCGGTGACAGCCACTTCGGCGACGGTCTTGAAAGGGGGCGTGCTGGTGAGACCCCAGCGACTGTCCGCCTCAAGATGGCAAAGCTGATGCTTGGCCTCATTAAAGGGATGCTCGCCATCCACGGCCGCACCGATGAGCTCGTGGAACTCGTCTGCAATGATGCGATGCCAGTAGAAATGCTTCAATCTCAGCTTCAAACCAGCATAAGCCCGACCACGGAAAATTTGGTAAGGAACGATGAGCACATCTGACGTCTGAATGTCTTCCACTGACAGCCTTCTCAGCTCGCCTCCATTGGCAGCAGCCAGAACTCGAAACGACCCGACCGGAAGAAACTTCTGGATTTCGTTTTGCCATTGCCTCCAAAGGTTTGGAGGCATCATGATAAGCGTGGCTCGCGAAGGGATGAGATCCTTTGAGGTAACTGGTAGTTGCTTGCAACGCCGGTGGTCCATCAAGGCCAAGGTAATGGTGGTCTTGCCAAAGCCGATGCTGTCTGCCAGAATACCTCCCCGCATCCCTTCAGAAGCATCTTCCCTGGACATCATCCAGCCCAAGCTTCGGAGCTGATAATCAAACAATGGCAGAGCAGAGCGGAAATGCGGAGGCTGCACAGCCGGAAGGTCTGCATCATTGTTGAGAAGCTGCACGGAAAGGGGCGGACTGCCAGCGTAGCCAGCACCTTTCAAACAAGATCTCTGCCATATCAACATGTCCTGCTATGCTAAATTCAGAAAGGGAGCTGTAGCCGTTGGAGGCCGTTTGGCAGCGCTGGCTGTACATGTGACATCAAAATAAAAGCATTGAGGTCGCGAGCCGTTCCAAGTACTGAAGCGGCTTGTGCCAAAGATCCGGCAGCGAGTGCGAAGCTGGGTTTCCTCAGATTATGCCAGTGTCATCTGAAAAACTGCAGGCGGCCACAGTACAAAATGTTCCCCGTGAGTGAAACATGTGTCTCAAGGTCGACCGACTTTGGGTTATGAGACATGTCCTCCCAACCACAGCTGCTAGACACAGCTGGGCAGCATCTCGAACAAAGATGCTGCTTCGTCTGAACTATAGTCTAGACTCCTAGTATCCCCTGAATAACCCCTATAACGGTCCCCTATGTAATGCTCTCCAGAACTCGTTGAGGAGCTTTGACTATAGCTCATCTTTGTACACGGAATGAACTATCAGGATGGCCATGTTAGCCCTCCCGCTCACACTACGCCTATGCTGCTCGCGACGCAGCGAAATAGCTGAAGCCAAACTGACCTCAAACAGCTCCGAGATGCGCCGAGACAGGGGAAATTCAAGGTTCTATGGGGGCCATATGGGGGTTTCCCAAAATTAGGGGTAGTCCCCACAATAAGGATTATAATGTATTGGGGTCTGTATTGGGGTCCCCTTATTTTGGGAAACTACCTTTTAGAGAATATGTAGGGAGAATATAGGGGAATAAGAGACTATAGGGGTTACTAGTGTTACTAGTTGGGATTATATTTCAGTATGCTTCGATTCTGGGCCGCTTGCGGTCACAGCCCCAGGACAAGAGGGGCCCTTCTTGCATCTCTTCTTTGCGGCCGTCAAAGTCGTAGAACTGACGGCAGCTGACATGGAATACTGGGGGTCATAGTAGGAAAGAAGGGAATATATAGGGTGTAGGTTTAGTAGGGAACGAGGGAATATATTGGGTTTTATAGGGATGATGGAAAAGAATTCGGAAACTAATCTTTCCTGATAAGGTATCTGTCGGGGTTGTAGTACAGATTATATAGGGATGATTTTCCCTCGTTCCCTTGAACACACCAGTAAGCATTGCATATGATCCAAGTGCTCAGCACCTTTGTTTCAAAACCCTTGGAACGTCCAACCTCCGTCGTGTCCAGCGCCTCTCCATCTGCTCCAACACCTTCTTGCCGAGCTTTATGTCTTCAATCCATCATCTATCATCATCTTATCACTTCTCCAAGTCAGGCTAGATTCGCCATGCCTCCTGCCACGAGAACAACTGTATCGCTGAGCCTCGGCACAGACGAACATCATTCGCAGGAGAGGAGCTTTGAAACATCTAAGCGACGAACCGCACTGCAGCCAAACCGGAACGAGCCGAAGTCAGAGGAGGGCCAGGCCTTGGAAACCCCCAAAAGCAAGCTGCGAAGACCTCCTGTCCTGTCAGCTGCTGGCTGGAAAGTTTCATTGATCGACGTGCCCGCTGCTTCCGTCTGTGACACCTCGGTCGGCTCCTCCTGCGCAGGGTCAGCAGGTCTTCTGCGTGCGGAATGTCCCTGACACAGTGTCCTTGGTGGGTAGGCTCTCTTCTGGGTCGTCAGCGTCAGCAGCATCCGCATTATCAGTGCCGTCCGCCGCATCAGCAGCCTCGCCAGTATCCTCGTCTTTGCTAGCTTCTGCACCCTCCTGCTTCTCGCCTGCGGCAACATGTGCTGCATACAGCTCTGAGTGGCAAGCTGGGATTTTCGTTGAAATATGTTGAAATCTTCGATGACAAACGATTTCACCGGCCTTCTGCAGGCTCTCCTTCCGGTGGGGCCTCAACGGCTGTGGCTTCCTGTGCTGGCGCCAGCCCAGCGAAGTCCTTGCCACGTAAAGTCAGGTTACAGCTGCAAGTCTCCAAACCCCCCCGCCCCACAACCGGAGAATCGGAGAGGACTTCGTGTTGTGTCAAGCCGTAGGCACGATGACAACGTCAAGAAGACATCCGTACGATTCAGTGCGGCTTTAATCTTCAAGTTGAATATTGTTAAATAAATCCTGTCCCAGGATCATGATGGCCAAGCTTATTCCCGGCATGCATTTTTCTTTTTGTGCGCCCCCCGACAGTGCTCGACCACCAGGGATTGAGGATGACATCAAGCAAACACACACGCGGTTTACATAAGAAGGGAGACCCCAATGTACTCTGTACAATGGAAACCCCAAAAAGAGACTCTGATGTTTGGAAAGCCCTACACTTCTGTCAACATGAGCTTCATCGCTGGACAAGCGAGAACAAAGCAAAGGCTCTAGTGCCACAGACCCTTTGAAGGGCCTCTTACACGAGTGGTCTCTCAAGTCTGAGGCACGGGGTTTTGAGCCACTCCAAGTTGGTCATGGTTGGCCCTGAGTCCATTTTAGTGAGCAGCAGCCTCCACCTGAACGATGACAGTTCTAAGACTAGCTTGACTTTGAAATTCCATGGCGAGACGGAGCAGTTTGATAGCTTGCTCTGCACACGAATCAGAACTGCACAAGCGGGTAGCTCCTGTGACCTCGGCATTCTTCGCTCCAGCCTGCAGGGAGTTCCGGAAGGCAGTTTCTGAATTCTAGTGTGCAGCTGGCAAATCACCCAGGTCTTCGGCGGAACCACATCTAGCCACTCGGTTGTTCGCAAGCGCTCGCCTAGGCCGTTGCAGTCTCATACCCTCTCCAATGGCTGCATGAAGCTTTGCAGAATCTTGAGGCAGCCGCTGCGCTCGTTCACACCCCCAAGGATCCAAACCCGATCCCGCGGATGATCGTCCTTCACAGCCGGTGAGTGTATAGCATGTTGAGAAGCTAACGTGTTGAGTGCACGGAGCTTGGAGTCCTTCTTGGGGACGGTGACTGCCGTGCAGGCAGCACGCCTTGGGCTTTCCAGGTTGGCAAAAGCTAGCCGGGATGGCCCAAAGCGAGGCTGGCGCCACTCCATCATTGACGGCCCTGGCTCAAACCATGCGCGCCTGCGCCCCGCCACAGCGCCATGGATCGTTTTTACGAAAACTGGCCATTTATAGTGGTCTACTATATACAGACGCGTACTTCCCCGCAATAGCTTTCTCGATGGCATCTGGTAAGCTTCCCACGCCAGGTCTCTTGGCGAAGAGACGGCCTTCAGAGCGAGAGGGTGATGAATCGAACACCCAGTTCTGGATTTTGGTTGTTGGATGACAGCGACCGCACAAGTGCTTTTCCGGCCGGAGCACCCTGCAGCCCCTAGTCCTGCTAGCTATAGAGTCAAAGCCATATCTTGTGTCACGACAGAACCTTGCCTGCCACAAGTTTTCTGTACCAGACTTGTTCATAGGCTCTTAGCATAGCAAATGATAAGCAGCAACCGCCAAATGCGAGCTCGTCCTATAACAATATCAATCCACACCAAGTCAAGTACAAGCTGTGGGAACTGTGCTAGATTCAAACTTGAATGGGCCGGTGTAGCAGGCCCACACTTAAAGAACCTGTAAGCCTCCAGTCATGCGCCTGAGATATCGACGGCTGGGGCTCACATCTGTAAGCTATTTCACACCGTATGTACACACCTGAAGAGAGCCCTCACTGAAATGGGGAAATCCTCGTCGGATGAACTCCCTACAATAATCGCGGATGCATCGTTCGACTCTCACTTATCATCAAGCGGAACAGACACGGTACCGCGTCTGAAGAAGTCAGATTTGAAATACATGAATTCGGGCACAATTCGCTGGCATTCAAAGTAGAAGCGCTTCTCATCGGCTGCTCCCATTGAGAAGGTCTTGCGGGGAAGAACACCTTCCCGAACTACTGTTTTCACCAAGTCATTCTTATCCATGATGGGCAAGAGGAAAGCCAAGGTCCCATCCTCTGCGGTTTTCTCTGAAATTACTTCCTCTCCGTGGACGTAATCGACTGAGGCTTTGGGGTTCGCCGCCAAGAAGGGGTCAAGCCAGGTTGTCAGCGTGGCGACCTCTAAAACCAGCTTTGCGCCATGGACGGCAATGACTCCGCTGCTTTGTTTGCTCCTGAACTCAATGTAGTGGCAGCCTGGCTTGTCTGACACGGTGCTCAAGGAGGCGCCCTTCAAAATCGTGACGGGTCCCCAGCCAAGGTCCATGAGCTTTTGTTGAAATTCCACCAAGGCCTTCTCTACGTCCACATTGAAGACGAGCCTATGGATTGGCTCAAAGGTCATGCCCTCATCATGGATGTTCACAAGCTCGACGAGAGCATGGCGCGCAGGATGGTCCTCTGGATCCGCTCCTTTCCTCTTGCATACAGAGAATTTTTTGTGAAGATGCTACTGCAAAGTGACCCTCTGCCTGTCCTCTTCAGGTTTTCCCAGCACTGTTTCGCCGTAGCTAGCGAGTGGTTCCCATCACCCACCTTCGGCATCACATGAGCTGACGTCTCCGTGGGAGTGAACTGCCTGCCTTGAAATCAGGCCAAGGCACTGGGAAGAGGATTACCTCCTGATCCTTCGAGGCCCCATAGCGCTCCTCGAAAGCCTCGCGGGAGGCCAAAGCCCGAAGTGCTTGTACAACACCTTCCACGGCGTCACTCCTTGGGTGAGAGTCTCCAAGGCTGGCGTCACAAGCGAGTATACCTATACCTGATACCTGAGGTCAGCGAGCCACGTGCCCGTGACATGATGCACGCACTTCCACACGCAACAAGGGGCTGCAAGTGACTACCGGCTTGCAAGCAAGCTGCTGTGCCACGTGAAATCCCTTCAAAAGGCCACTGCCCTTCATCAGTTCAAAGTCCTCAGAACGTGCAGTGCTTCCCTCGGTAGTGTGTCGCTCTTCTGCTGACGGCCCCTGCTTGCCAAGCATCGTAAAGCTTTGGGAAATCACCACAGCGGTTGAACAGCGGCTCAATCACTGTTCTCTTCGGATCATCGATCAACACCTGCCGCTCAGGATTGCGGCTACCACTCCCTCCCTGTCGCAAGCACAGTGCACTCAATCGGCACTGGACGGGGCACCAGAATGTGAGGCAGCTCCAGGGGAGACTGCTCACGGATGGCAATTCGAGGCGGAAGTCGTTCGGGAATCGTCTTCCTGGGTTCAAATGTCCTTTCACAAGCTGTACAAGTGGTTCCCTCTTTGTAAGAGCTATGCAAACACAAAATCCAAAAGGTCAGAAGCCTCGACAAGAGTCTCGGTTGGCCGGATCAAGCTTTGAGAGCCTTTAGCAAAGCTGTACATGTCCAGGTCGAGGGCGACCAAAAGGCCCTTACGACTTGCGACATGGGGTGTCTTTCGGTCGATCAGGACGAAGCCTGGGTGTTGAGGCACAAGGATACGGTCTCTGTCATATTCGTGCATCTTATCGCGGATGCCGCGGATGATCTGCTGGTTTGCTTTTGCATCACCCAGGTACACTTCAGGAAAAATCAAATTCAGGGTGGACGGTGAGTCCCCCACAGAACCTTTGACATCTTTCCAGTACTGTGGCTGGGATGTGTACTGGTCACATGCAATGACGCACCACTTGGTGAGGTCAAGGCCCTTCCGTGGCAGAAGCACCCGTGGAACCTTCAAGCCAATATCGGGGAATCGTAAGACATCCGCGCACCTGAACATCTCGTGGCCACTTGGGCCGATGCCTAACCGAGTCAGGCTCACGGAATGCCTGGCCAAGTTTAGAACGTTGCGCATCAGAATGGCAAAGGAGATTTGCCCAACGCCCCCTGGTACCGGCGTGATCTTCGAGACTTTGGACAGAGCCTCCTGGAAGCAAACGTCACCGACGATGCGTTGACCCCGCTGCGCATCAGGAACAACCTGATGCAACATTCAACGCGCTGCCGACGCATGTGCTACGGCAAAAACTCCTCTAAAGGTTTTAGACAGAATGACGAGCCAGTTCGATTCCAGGCAACATTCATCCCCACGTCGATGACCACAGCACCAGGCTTGATCCACTCACCGCGCACTAGGCCGGGTCTCCCAGCGCAGGAGACCAAGATGTCCGCCTGTCGGATGTGCTCCTTCCAGGCATGGTGGCATGGCCAAAGCAAAGCAAAAGCTTTGTTGCTTCCCAGCCCTGGGTCAGCGCCTGCAAGTTGGCAGTTTGACTATGGCACGTCGTCACAGTGCAGTCGTGAGCAGTTAGCAATGCAGCAAGTGGAGCTCCCACGGTACTGGAGCGGCCAAGTACCACAGCATGCTTGGAGTGGAGATCTACCTGGCAAGGGCTTCAGCGCCCGTGATATTTCACTCTCATGATGCTGCAAAGGGCATCAGCAGTGCAGGATGAGTGGCATGGGAGCGCAGCAGCAGCTCCATGACGCCCATCGGCACTGTTGGCCGCGATTCGGGTTCTGCCCCAAACTTGTAGCCTCCCGCTGCCAAGACGCGGCCTAGGTTGGAGAAGGATAAGCCATCCACGTCCTTAGCAGGACCGATGGCCTGCAGGATCTCAACTTCATTCAAATGCTGCGGCAGCGGCAACTCCACGACGATACCATGGATGCTTGCATCAGCCATCAAGTCACTGATGATCTTCAGTAGGCGGCTCTGCTGTACAGTCTCACTGAAGCGCAAGATCTGTGCATGCATGCCACATCTCTCAGCCATCTTTGCTTTCAGCTCCGCGAAGTTGGACAAATTGATCTTCTGCTCATCAGCCTTCTCTGGTCTCAAGCAGTCAATGAGTTGGCCGAAGCTGTGGTTCCCCACCTGTCAATTTTTGCAGCTGCGTACTTTGAATGCCGAGCCACGGACGGGTGCTACCTGCCTCGATGATGGCAAGGCCCGGGGTCACGCCATACTTGGCCTGCAGCTCTGTGGTGGCCGCTTTCACATCGTCGCCTGACAATGACGGTTGAAGGCTTCTAGCGCTAGCGCCTGCGCTGCCTGCGTATTTCAGCTGCTGAGGCACACAGGGCTGCAGCAATTCGGCGCCCGTCGATGATCTTGGCATCATCAGTTTTGCGCGGGCTGCGGCTGCGATCTTGCAAGCCTGGCAACTACGCGCGAACCTATGGCACCGCAAAATAAGATCCGGGACCCAGCATGCCTGTAGCCACCATCACTTAGAGCAGCAGACACGAATTGCTACGTGTTCCTTTTGCCAAAGCTTTGAGCCCTAACAGCGGATGGGCAGCAAGTCTGGATCAGCAACTCCTGTTTATAAAGCCGCCTGAAGACATACGACCTCTGGGAGAACCTAAGCTGACCTTTGGTTAGCTAGGAATGAACAATGAAGGAATGGATCCTCATAGTAGTCCCTATATAACTCATTATAGTAGTTCCCTTTCTCTTGTCCATTTCTTCATTCCCAGCTGACCTAAGGTCTTGTGGAAGCAGCCTCGCCATCAATGGAGCTGGTCCAACTGGCTTGCCTTCACAATCTGAAGCTTTGCAACGGTGGGGAAACAATACGGCGCTGAAAAGAAGCAGAGGCCTCTCCCGCCTCGTGTCCTGAAAATGAGTTTTTCTATTATGCTTACTATTACTTTATTTTTATTAAGTAGATTGCAACTAATGTTTTCTATTACTATTATTATTAGTATTATTGAAAAACTTAAAACTCTGCATGGCACCGCCAGCCGCATGCAGTCCTGCTGGAAGTCTGATGCATACTCGACAGATTTCAGTTGAAACAAGTCGATGATCTCCGTGGAGTTTACACCTAGTCAGGCATCCTGCGTAGAATGAATGCATAGAACATCCAGCGATCCAGGTTTGCGAGTAAGTTGCAGACTTGTGAACCTGGCATTGTTATTACGGGGAAGAGGCAGTAAGGCGAACAACAACAAGTAGCGGCGTGAGTGTTACCTGCTGCTGCTCACAAGCTGTTGCTTCCAACCCCAACATGCCAGGCACTCTCGTCAAACCTCAGCTGCAACTTGCCACACGTGCTTATGGGCCGGGCAGGTGAAGCTGGGTCTAGAAAGGGAAGAGCATGCACTCTCAAGGATGCATGGTCTCAAAATGCCAACTTTAGCAAGCTAGCTGGCGCCAGGCGCTTGAAGCACCAATGTAACTGACAAATCATATGACCCGTCTGCAGGTGCAGCACCACATGCTTGCAGCGGTAAGTGTAAGTGCCACGCCCGCCAGCGACCAACAGGTGCCTGTCACCGTACCTCGCAGAGGTCGAGAGCTCAGGTTTGAAAAGTTGCGATGCCAATGCAGAGAAGTCCTTCCAAGAAATGGTTCCCCCCAAAAATATTCCCAGCGGGCATGGCGGCAGCGCAGCAGGCACGTCGCGAACGGAGTGGCGGCCCAGGACGCGCTGTGCCCGCCTTTGACTGGAGAAAGCAGGGCATGAGAGTAAACGAATATGAGCCCGTTCCTGGACGCTTAAAACTTCCGTGCTTTGTCCGGCATCTGCGCCATAGCCACCGATGACCATGACCTCGAGAAAAGGGGGTTTGACAACATTGCGCATGCAAGCTTAGGGCCCTGGCCCACGGCATCCAGACTGCCTCTTCTTCTTCGTCGTCTTCCTCCTTAATCCTCAGATTCAAGGTGAGCTGCTTCCATTAACTGAGCTCAGGAGCTCAGCTTTTCAACGCCTTCTGGGCAACCTGCTCTGGCTCTTCGTCCTCTTGGACAGGGAGCGGTAATGCCACAGCTGCACATCCTGCACGTGGCATAAGCCTCGGTGAAATGGAGTTGGTGAATCTGGTGCGCGGTGTATAATCGGGTTTCCAGCAGTTGCGGGCCCGCGGTGACTTCTCCACTGACGATGTCCACAACCCTGGCACGAGTTCGGAAGTCTCCGAAACATTCCGAAACTATGCTAAGCTGCAACGTTTTGCAAACAGGAAGGTATGCTCAGTTGTGTCCATGGCCAAGCCATACTCATCAAACCCACCAACCTCGTGCTGTCAAATGCGATGCTAGTGTGTCAGCTGGTGCGTCTTATTGCGCGCTGGGGATCAGACCACGAGAACCCTTCCGTCTCCCAAGCAGGCAGCCTTAGGACGAGCCCCAAGAAGCTGCAGGTGCAGCTTGCGCACATTTGCACACACATGTGGTTCCGAAACCTGCAGACTGTAGACTGACTAGGCTTAGCCGTCCTATCAATCTGCTTGGAGGCCTCAGCCTCAGCGTCTATACAGGCTTGTTCGCTTTGCCTACCTCGCCTTGCCGGAAGGCCCGCTCGCACGCGGAAACCAAGACTAGCTTTGAACACTTGCAGCGCCAAGTCAGAAGTGGATACAGGGACGGTCCGGCATGTAGAGGAGGTGAACATGCGAACGATACTCAACGCCTGCTGGGCCCTGGAAATTTCGCTAAGGTGGGAGCGCTACAGTTCCACCGCGGTGAAGCCTGCTGTTGCGCAGCTCACGTTGCAGTCTGACTCCGACAGCATTTTCCAAATTGGGGCCAAGGCCAAGGAAGGTCCTGATGACCACACCTCGGATGGCCTGGCGGTTGGCAGCACCAGGAAGGCGGTAGGAAGGCGGACTGTAGCACAATAGGGCTTAGAGTCAAGCGTGGTCAACTTCGAGGTCAACTTCGAGTGCCCTTCTTTGTTTGGCTTGTCTGCCACCCTCTACTCGTAGAGATAAGGTCGGTGATGTGTCCGGCTTGCGCAAGCCACGCCTGGATTGCAATTGATCACTTGCTCTGGCGCCGCTTCATTAGGGCACAGAGGGGGCGCCCGGTCTTGGTCTTGCACACATCTTGGCATGACCAGCCCCTGCGGAACACCTTTGTTGAAACCAAGAATGTTGCACGTTTGCTAAAAAGTGTGGCCCATGGGCTGTTTTCCGGATGCAAAGCCGCGCGCTACGCGCGCCCCTAGAAGAATGATGACGTCCCAAGCTCAACAAGCTACACCCTGACAACAATAAACAAGCAAGTTTGTCTGGCGCTTGCCCGAAGCTACCCAGTGGGTGCGTCGGCAATCATCGGCCTGGCTGTATGTTATTGCTGGGCGCAGAGCACTGCGCGCTTTCGACAGGATATGCTGATATGCTCACCCGTCGGTTTCCTCCAAGAGCAGCATCTCACCATGACAGGGGCCATTGACACCTCCCCACTGCAGAAGGTGACTCATGATCGCGGTTGCTACTCGTTTGCTTGTGCCGCCATGTCCCGCCTGCAATCCCTGCGCAAATGCTGCCGGACGTCTCGAGACGCTTCAGCAACTGTCACGCACTTCTTCTGGGTCACAAGAAAAGCGATGTGAAGCCAACAGGCCCGAAGGCTTGCACTGTCTTGGACGGTTCTCCCGATGCACCTCCTCTTGGCGCAATCTCTCCTACAGGCTGCGTGAAGCCAACTAGAAATAGAGTTATCTGACTACCATGCCGGGTAGTCGGAATACTAATGCTGTTGTCCAAATGATCTCCGAAGAGAGCCCTGGCAAGTCCAAGAAAGGTTTCTGACGGCTGCAGAAGCCACTGAACGCATGAGTCCTCCTCCTGCAGTCGCGCTTCCTGCAACAACGTAGGCTTGCAGCCGTATTTTGTACTTGTAACGAATATTCAATCTACTATCATGATGACCAGATCAAGAACTGATTTTGCGACTGCCAATCCTTCTTCTGATTCCTTGCAGGTGGAAACTCAGAGGATTCTTGCAAGCCACTCTGCGTGGCCTCCTCTTCAGGGTCTTCTTCTGCCGGCTGATCTGCTTGCCTTATCAGACCAGCAACCACAGCCCTTCAAAGCCCCGTAAGTCTATCAGTCTTCATCAGCCCTAAACCCTGGTCCCGTGAAACCTGAGCTTGTGGAATAGATACTTCTCTGACACAGGGGCCGCTGAGGCCGGCGTTTCCAAGGAAGAAAGTAAAGCGACAGAGGCGACTTTCCCCTCAGAACCGCCCACCTTCGGTCAACCCTGGGGAACAAAAGTCGGTAGCAGCCACTGCGCCTACGTTCTACGCCCCTGCACAGTTCCCGGGAAAGGACGCAAAATCAGGTCAGCCGAGCACCTAGTTTTGAGGCAGTGGCTGGGCACCCTGCGGCGCAAGCTCCTCAAGCACACATGATCTGCACAGGCTTCATGCATGGCAGTTCGCGGAAACAGGGAACCTTTGACGAGGACTTCGACGACATTCCATCCGCGCAGGCCTCAAGCTCAAGGAAAGTCTGCCGTTACAGCTGCTTCAACGACTTCTTGCCTGAGTTCCTCACGGCCTCCTGGATCAGGATGTTCAGTGCTGAATGGGTGCTACAAATGCTGCAGCATCTGCGTTACCGCCTTGCATGAGCTCATCAGCTGCTCCCCCTAGCTTACCCAGCAGAAGTATACTTTGTCCTTCGGTTCGGATGGGGCGTTTACGCCAATGCAAGGGCCGCCTTGTTCCTGTCTTCCTCCACCCTGCCCAGCACCATTGATCTCAGATTTGTGTCGACCTCTCTAGGCCGTGCCCAGGCAACTTCTGCCATTTGACATTGTACATTAAGCGCTACAGTCATGGGTGAGGCAGTGGGAAACCTGTCGTTAGCAGAAATGCTTCGAACTACACCAGGTTTCAGGTCCTGAAAAGCCAGTCCTTGAGAAGCAACTATTCCGAAACAGACCTACAAGCGGGGGCTGATCTGCCCCAAACCCCGGTTTTTTGCATCCAGATGTCTAACGATCCCTGACGCTAGCCAGCTTAACACACACCCTTGGAAGCTGCATATGGAAAGCTCTCATGGCCAAGCATGAAACCCCAGCCCCAGACCTTCTACTACCAGAACCAGGCATTCCAAGGACTTACGTACATGATGGGGCAAGGTAGCAGTCTGTCCCAAACCCGCGATTGGATGAAGTCAAGTTGCACGTCTTTTTTCCAACGCCGCGCGCATGGGCAAGCGCTGGTGCAGCCATAGCAGGCTTGCAAGCCCCATCTGCTCTGGGCCGCAGCAGTGGCCCCTTGTGCCGCACATCAGTGCAGGCACTTGCACGTCGCAGCTGCAGGGCATACTGTAGCAGTGCGTGGGCATGGCCAACCTGCAACGTATGGAAGCCCGGCGCGGCAGCCGATGTCCAAGATCGCGCTGATGACCGTGCCAAGCCAGCACCAGCGACACCGCAAGACGATGCTCTTGCTGTGTGTAGCAGCGTAGCAGTCTTTGCGAACTCCACGAATTCCTCAACTTGAAACCTCAGCAGCCTTAGCAAGCAGACTGCGAATCGGCCCGCCGTCAGGAAACCGCTCCTTTGCCAGCGCATCTGGTGTCACGAAGGAGGCGGCTTGCTTCAACCTGAGATCAAGATCGAGATTCCACACGGATGGTCTCACTGGAGTGAATGCTGCTCAAGCCAAGCAGCACCCTGTGTGGTAGATTTCCACAAGCCGCCGGAGCAATGAAAATACGGCCGGCGTGCTCTCCCAGTGTGCCAGAGGTTCGCGCTCCAGCTGCCACCAAAGCCTGTCTGCATCAAACATTCTAACATACTTTCGATCTTCTGACCTTACTGCCTCACACACGTCAGCGTGGCCGTGGAAGATCGCCCAGTGCAAAGGGGTCCGATTCCAACGATCCAGCCAGTCCATGCCAGCTTTTCCTGCTGACAGTCCCTTCCTAGTCTCTGCTTCTGCAACAGTTTGTGCTCTGACGAAAAGGCTCCTCTCAGTAATGCCTGGGCTGTCGCAGGATTGCCCGCTTTTGCAGCAGCATGGAGCGCTGTGCTCCGGCTACTGGTGTCCTGCTAATGCAAACCCCTGCAAAGCATAGCAGACCAGCAAGGCACAGCTTCGCTGGTCTCAGAGCCGGGCTGTAGCTTCGATGTCAGCTTTGGCCTGACACTGTTTGTGCACTTGCGTGCCACTTTCCCTGTTATTTGCAGAGCTTTTGCCAGGCGCAATGGGGTACTTGGAGTCCTCAAGAAGCAGCTCTATCATTCGCTGGCCACAGCGTTCCGCAGCTTTCAGAAGCGTCGGCGTACCGTGGGCCTGGGCTCTGACGTTACGACAGCACCGGCCCTTCCTCAAACACGAATGTCGAAAACACCAAAGGCTCCTGAGCTTAGGGACATCCCTCCGTTGCGGCTCCGCGCGGCATCTGAGAAGCTCTTCAGCACAACATATGTGGTTGCCCATGACGGCCTGGAAGCAAAGCGAAGTTGTGTTTTTGCAACATCGCAATCGCGAATGCTTGAGGCAGCGGCCAGGATCAAGGGTGTAGAGCCATGTCTTGCATACTGTCCTTCCAGTATACCTCGCAGGAAGTCATGAAGGGCAGATGCTGGGAGAAAAGCATTCCAAGCCTCCTTCCACTGGTGCCCCCTCCCGGAGCAGAAGCTGGACCAATGGTACCAACCCCGCCTCGGCTGCCCGGCCTCGGGTCAGCTCTGTGCCATCTTTGAGCACCCGTCCAAAATGGTAAAGGACAGTGCAGGCCAGGCGCAGAGCAGCTGCTCAAGCTTTGTTTCTGGAACCTGCATTTCAGAAGTCTTCATGATGACATGCTCTGCAAGACGCAAGGCCCCTGGGCCCCTGGGTCCGTGCCAGGCGGCCTGCTCCCAAGCACCATGATCCAGTTCAGGATCTTGATCTTTATAACCGCGCTGGACCTTGTGCTTCACATAGTTTATGCGAAGCTCCGCAACATCCTCCTGGGCTCTCCAAGCCATTTCAAACGAAAACTTGGATCAAACCAGCAGTCGTCCTCGCTGATCTTCTCCTCGACTGCAGGGGCATATCCCGGGAAACGGACACCTCCCCGTGCCAGCATCTGACAGTAGATTCGCAGTCGGGGTGAATGAATCAGCTTCTCCGGGGACAGTAAGATGCCCAGATGGCTCGCCGGGCTCACCTGAAATTCAAATTGACTTTCAAGTCTTTTCCATGACGTGCCAAGGTTCCTCCAGCAAAAATATTATTGGTATTACTGTAAGTATCATCATTATCAGTATATATATATTACATATATATATATATTTTATCGTATTATATATATGTATACATATATATATATTAATATTCAGCTGAGGTAAGGTCATCCTGTCCAGCGCCGGCAGCCAAGGCAAGCAACCGCCTCGAGACCTGTCAATGCACAGCAAACCAACTTCAGGCCCCCAACTAGGGTCTAGGTTATTTTTGGGGATATTATGGTAACCATTATAGAAACTTACTCTATAATGGGTGCCATAGTATCGCAAATAAAATACTACTCACTAGGGTTTAGGTACACACCAGTAACACTCCATAATAGCGGCAATGCTAAGGTCTATATGTATATGTAACATCCATCAGTTGCTGGGTGGGTCTAGGGCTTGGGGCTTAGGGGTTTAGACTGCCCACTAGACGGAACAACGCCTGAAGCACAGACATGGAGTGCCCTCCGAGAGCCAGGAAATGGTCATTTGGGCCCACGCCCTTGCGCTTCAACACGTCCTAGGCCATCTGCCCATTATGCCCACAAAGCTCGTCATGCAAACAAACACTCACATACTGGGATTCGCTTCGCAAGTCAATTTGCCTCCCACACGCTGGCGACCACGCGCTCCAAAGACGTTAGAGACGAAGATGACGAGGGTGCAACATCCACGCTCTCGGGGAGTGCTTTGGAATCCACTTTCCTGACTCTCACCATGGCTCTCTTGCAGGAATTCTCGTTTCAACTCGTGGCCCAAGGGCAGGACCCACTTCTAGAATCCTAGGACCTCTCTGAAAGTTTGAAGCTTTGCCTTCATTAACGGCGAACTTTGGAAGGCTTTGTTTCGGCTGAGGATCCCATTGGCTGTGAGAGGGAGCAGTTGCATCAGCACAAAGCTGCTGGGAAGCATATGCCGCGGCAATTCTGTGCTCGAGCGCTGTAGCAGGAAGTCGCTCACCACTGGCAGAACACCTTGCATGCGTAAGCTCATGCAAATCAACAGAACCTAAGCTGCAATGCCCATTGCGTCTTAGCGGCAGTATGGCTCATGCATCATCACAGCTGCATCTGCAGACACCTGCGTGCAAGCGAATATCTCGACAGCTGGAACTGCGCAGGTCTTCTTAGGTCTGACCTTTTCCGGCACCCAGCTGATAGTGCTCTCACGGATGATTTTAGGAGCAAAGCACCTGCTACTTGGAAGATGAATGCTGTACAACGCCTGCTTGAGGGGCATGCCATGAAATTATGCAGGAAGACATGGCAGTGTAGACAGACGGCCGCATCTGGTTTTCAATCTCATGCTCAACCGAAGATGAGGCGAGCGAGAAAGAGTTGCACAGGATCTGGATGGGGGATTCTGCGGCCAACGATGAAGATGACGCAGTTGGACAAAACTAAACATGATCCTACATGCGAATGCTGAGTCAGTCCATCACCCTGCGTCTGCTGATACATCAAGACCCGTCCACCATCCCACCCTCCAGAAGCCCCTGCCCTTCAAACTGAACGAACTGTTGGAACTAAGCGCCTTCTTGGAATCATGTTCACATTGACACTCAAGTGTTCAATGCGCGTGAAGTACTACATAGAACGCGTAATTTCAAGAAAAACGACCTCAGAATCTGAAAATCTTGGATTTCAGGTACTGAAATCCAATGTTGCAACACGCCTTCAAGACGCTGGATCCAAGTTTCCAAGAAAGAGTTACCAACACCTTTCGATCCTGGATTCCGCTTCCTGCAAATTGGATTCTCCTACTTCGAACTTCTTGGATATTTGGATTCCGTGTATAGGGGGGAGGGTTGACCTTAGGGTCAAGGACGCTTTGGGGTTGAACTACCTCCCATCCTACAGAACTCTGTCTACTACTATTCCCACTAATTTTACAATTCTTATTACTATTGCTATTAATTTCACCATTATTGTTAGCAATACTACTTTGGGTTTGGGTTCAGGAGTCATGGGCTTAAAGGATTCACTTACCGTCGATACGTGCAGGGTTTGGGCTTAGAGGTTCGGAGAGCTCCCCTCCCCATAACGGATCGTTGAGATGTTTGGGGCTTCCTATCAGTGAATTTTCGGGAACCGCGAGCTCTGGGATTCCGAGTTGAATCTGTTTTGGTATCTTTTGGTGACTAATTTGATTGGACTTTTCCACTTTGATGCTTGGAGAGGCCAGGATAGACGGCGCATAGGCCAGGCGGAAACATGAAGTTGCAACAGATGTGCTGTGTTTATTGAGAAGTAAGTGAGTTCGGGATGGGGTCGAACTCTGGGCTTGACATGTTAAACGCAGACACTCAAGTTTGAGATCTACCACTATAGGAATTCCCTATCCTCAAGTTTGTGGTCGAATGCTTGTGAGTTTTGCCACTTGCATGGCCATCGACAGCGTAGGGCAACAATTCCACCAAAGAGTCAGTCCGGGTGTCTGGGAGCACAGATTCGGTCATGCGGTCAAGATGTGTGCGCTTCCACACAACTGTTCAAAGCTCCTTCAGCGGTAGAGAGGGTGATTGGAAATGCATAGGGAGCACGCGACTTGGCAGATGTTGACAGCTGCATGCAGCTAGCCTGAAACCAGGCATAACAAGTTGGCTCCTTCGGGAGGGTCGGAAGATGTCTGAAGCTGATCGGCAATTTTGGAGGGTTAGGCTGAACTTGTGAGGTATTCGGGTAGCAGCCCCCGGTTATATGAGACGCTTGCCCATGAGCTCAGAAGGTCAAAGGCTTAGGTATGACAAATCAACAGTACGCTTGTCAAAGTTCGACAAGGAGTTGAGGTTGAAAATTCAAAGGTGAGGTTCAAGGGTTTTAGGATGTATGGGTTCCTCTCAGATCCATAGCTCGACTCAAACTTTCAGCCATGAGCTGGCTTCTTCAGGACAGTGACGTACACATTGATTGAAATTCCACGGTTCCGTGAAGCTCTATGCTGTCCTTACTCCCAGTAGGCCTCGATGAGATGCAGGGCTACCCTATGATCTTCCAGCGAAATATGCAGCTTCTGCATTAGTTAGGGCTCTGCACGGGCATCACGACTCATTCGTAATGTCGGTACGTACACCTGAGCTACGAGTGCGCATTGAATGCTTTTGGTAGACAAGGTACTCTCTGTGGGCGTCCCAGATTTTTCACTGTCTTGTAGGATGTTGAAAGCCCGGATTTAGAAAAATGAAGTGATGTAGGGTTGTGCCGGGCGCTATTGCTTCTATGGTTCCGCATTTTTTAAAATGCAACACGTCGAACATGAGCCGGCCAAAAAAGGGGATAGAGCAAAACCAAGCAACAAACAGCGCACAAAAACAAGTGAAAGACGCCGTTGCTCTGTCGTTGATTCTTTGCCTTTTTGTTTGAATTTCTTTTCGTTCCCCAGCCCCTGCTCAACATGTTCTACTTCACCTTTTGGCATGCNNCCCCCCCCCCCCCCCCCTTCCCACTCCAAAAAAAAAGATGGAAACGCCAACAACACACCACAACAGCAAAACAAAACAATCAAGGAACACCCAAAGCGAGCAACCGAACGGTTGCTTGTCTTTTGCTTCTTTCCGTTATTCATGGTAGGTTTGAAGGGGGTAACCAAGGTTCAGACGAATCTCTGGGCAACTGTTGCTTGTTGTGGAAGCAAAACTCAAATCAAGCCTAGGGCATAGCATGACATAGCGATGGCGCTGGCCCGCTCTTTTTCTTACTCAGGGTCAGTAGGGAATAAGGGATTATACTAATAGGGATTATATGGAGATTGTATTCCCTCATTCCCTACTAACTACTGGTAAGTTTTACACCAAGGCCGTCCCTGCCTGGCAGTAGGCCACCAAAAAGCTGTCCCGAAGCTTGACAGCGCAGTTTGCAACCAAACCAGATGATGTCTGCACGACTGCCGATTCAATCTCACCCAGCTCTACTCGCATACCGCGGATCTTCACCTGGTTGTCGAATCTCCCCACAACCTCCAACTCTCCATCCACGATGCGACCACCATCGCCCGTTCGGTACCATCTCCCAAGCAGACCGGGAAGCTCCACAAACTTGGTAGCAGTTAGCTCGGGTCGTCTGTGGTATCCTTGACACAAGCAATGCTGGGCAACTTCCTCTTTTAGACCACACGATGCGCAGATTTGCCGAGGTACCGATTCCCACCTGCACGCCGCCCTGAACAATCTCACCAACTTCTTCATCCTTCTGCCGAGAGGTGCCGTCCCTTTCCTGCTGAAAGGCTTTGACAAGACACCGGCTGACCCTGGCAACCCAAAACGACTGCAACGATATGCGACGATGCCAAGCTGCAAGGATCAGCACCTCGTTGCCCGGGTACGGGCGCCCCACCAAGGTGGCACGATCTCCAGACAACATGCGGCGAAGTGTCTGCCAAACGGTGCCTTAGCTGGCAAGATGATCCCTACCCCATTTTGGGCGGGCCTCCAATGTGAACTTTACAGCAGCAGAGCTGCACTCCGTCGTTCCATATGTATTCAGCAATTGAAGCTTTGGCGCCCACTGCTCAAGCAATGGCTGTGGCGAGCGCTCTCCACCAAGGCAAACAGTTGTGAGGGATGGCAGGTCATCACCGGCCCTGGGAGATATCAAGGCCCGGGATAGGGCAAGGGTCAGGGAGTATGATGGAATATGATGGAGAGTATGCATTTCAAGCTTCAGCTGATTGGGGGCCTGGGACGTAAGGTTCACAACTCAGGAGCAGAGGCTTGCACAAGAAAATCACGCAAAGGCCTCTGTGATCAGAACCTTCCCAGGGCCCGCAAAAGTTTTGAGAGGGGCGTTTGGGAGCTTGAGGATGACAGGCAGGGCCCGGTTCTAGGTGTCCAGCCCACTCTGCAATCATCAACACCCGGCCAACCAATCTCAAACTGTCCAACTTTTTGACAGCCATCAATCACCACTGCACCCTGCGTAAGCCCGTGCTGCCTGTTAGCTGCAGGTCTCAGGTCTTGGGCGTGGGCGCGCCAGCGTTTACGACCAAATGCCATCCAACCCTTTGGGTACTTGCGATTGAGTAGCTCCAGCGACTGCCAAAGAGATGGCGTGCATGTGAGATGCGTCACCTCCAGGTGCTGTATCGCCCAGCCCAGGCTAGCGAAGAAGAGCATCCGCGGCGCCATAGCTACCGTGCCCCCAACGGCCCAGGTGGCAAAGATGTCACCTGAACAATTCTGGAGCTTGGCCGCCATAGCTCTGGCCATTAATATCATATATCACCTCTTGGCCTCCCTCTGCGTTACTGCTTCACGAATCATGTCACATCAGAAGCCAAGAGGCCGATAGATGGGTCGAAGGTAGATGCGGAAGCTATGAGGACCACACTAGACGCGGAAATGGATTGCGGTGTGTTCTTTACCATGCACCTTGCCGTACATGCGGCAGAATGCGCACGGAATGACAAAACAAACGCCTGAACCATCTATCCTTCAAGCCCTTGGTGAGCATGGCCAACGCATGCAAGACACCAGTTTTGAAATGCCTGGTGCGAGATCAGAACTCCCTTCGGCTGGCCAGTCGAGCCACTCGTGAACCACCTCACGGACATCAGTCCCATCGAGACAGGAACAGCTGAAGTGAAATCCCAGCAAAGTCTACAATCCTTTTCCATGAAGAAGTCGTGGCAACACTGTAATTCTGAAGGCAAAGTACATGTAGGCTGGAGAAGACGATTCAAGTGATACCTCCATCTCAGTAGGGTGTCCCGTGCAGCTCAACGGAACTTCCGTGCTCAGGTCCAAGACTTGACCGACCTCCGCGAGCTTCCTGAAGACAGGCCAATATTCACAACCACTTCTTTTCAAGCCTGTACAAAACCCTTGACATGAACTGGACATCTGGAAATTCTTGGAAAAGGATTGGGATTGAAGCAAGGGTCTTTGCATCGCCCCAATCTTTAGCCACCAGGCAACTTGCTTGAGACTCCTTCGCCACGTGGCAGAGCCGGGACACAGGATCATGCGGGTCCAGCGGCACCAGCACCATGGCTCTTCTCCACCCAGCAAGCTCTGCCAGAGCCAGGTATGGGCCATCGTCAATGGCAACACCTAAAACAGACCCTGACAGGCGCTGCGCGATCAGCCCGCTCAACTGCCACACCTTGCAGGCATTTGCAGGCTTCATGCTTCATGCTCCATGCCCTGGTGAACAGCTTGCAAAGTTTGTCAGGTGAAGGCCTGCTGGTATGTGAGGCATCCTGTCGTTCGCTCTGCTGTCAGGAAACGCAGTGCTGGGCGGCTTGGAGAGGATTCCACGGAATGCTGCACCAATGACAGCGCAGTCATGTGGCATCAAGGCTGCATTCGGGTTAATCAGTCTTTGCTACATGCTCTTGTCCTGTCTGTCGTTTACACTGGCGTGCATTGGACGCGGGCAGTTCTGCGTGAACAATGCATCTGGCTGCGTTCATGCCTGAGCAACACCCCACACGCACATGCACGACACAAGCCAAAGCGGAACCCGTTGTGCGCTTCTCCTGGCCCGGCGCTCCGTTCCATTTTGCTGCGTCCTTCTGGTTATCGCTACACGCCGGTGGTCAGCTTGGACTTCCTCAACTGCAAAACACCTCGGGTTCAGCAGGCAACTATGAGGAAGCCCACGCCTGCCAAGGTTTGAATTCGATTGAGCTGGCCTGGTGATAGCGATCCAGAATAGCCGCATCCTCGGGCGCATCAGGTTGTATCTTGCAAGTGTTTACAGCGCGGAACCTTCTGCCATCTGGCAGTGGAAACCAGGGCCCGCACCACGTTGCGCTTGCCAGCCATGACCTAATGTCAGCAGCGGGGAGTTTGGGTTAAAATGCAGATTTCAGAAACAGGGATTACAAGGGAGGGAACGGGCCTCGCGTACTCTGGCCGGCGAGATTGACGGGGAAAGCCGGGCTCCTGCATACTCGCTGTAAGGCCGAAGGCAATTTGAGTCCACAGGAATATTTTCATGTGTGGAATTGCCACCCCTTCAGCGCGGATGCTTGGCATTTCAGAATGTTCCGCGGCAGGATTCTCAATGGAATGAGACAGCAAGACAATCCTGCACACTGCGTAACTTCTTTTGAATACAATGTATGAGAAAGATGGTTCCCATATCATCCCAAGCTGGGTTGCTGTTACAGAACTTACATTAACCATAACATGGGTATATAGTGAATAATATGGCTTCCTCTTTGTAGTGACTTTTTTCAAGTTCCTTAGAAGCAACCCAGTAAGCCTTAGGCCCCAGAATCCCCAAGCAGCCTCCAGGGACTGGGGCAGTTTCAACTTCTGGTTCAGACTCCGAGCTGCTAACGTCCTTGCGGGGGGATTCCTACTTTAACTGTTATGGGTATAATTCTTATTGTGATTGCTTGTGATGATATTCGTCTTCTTGCTGCTGCTAATAGTCTTCCTATTACTAATTTTAATATTGCTTCCATGACGAGCATTAGTACTACTAATACTAGTATTATTACTGCTGCTAGTACTGAATTACCCTTTCCGTGGCGCAGATGCCAACGTGGTGCCCAGGCTTCAAGAGTTTAGGGAATCCCCGGAGTTTTGTGGGTTTTTGGGGTTCCCGGGGTTGATAAGTCTCGAGCATTCAGGGGTTCCAAGAGTAAGTAGCAGGAGGCCTTGGGGTCTGTGCTTCTGTTCCTTGGGGCATCGCATCTCGCAGCGGGCGGTGGACGTGGAGTTGTGCAATTGAGTGGCCGGTTCTACGCTCTCAACATGACTGTATGACTGTTGTGTGATCTAACCTATCATCACCTGTCATCAGCAGACGGAGAACGTCTGAGGACAGAACGCTGCTGCTGCTATCCACCTTGCCAACAACAACCGCGGACCTTGGGCTGAGGAATGGTGCAGACCGCGAGACACAACATTCTGCCTGTGCAACGGTAGCAGCTCAGTCTCACACTTGGCCTTAGCCACGGCCGGCGGCGCCTTGTTCACACGATGTGAACACAAAGTCAAACACCCTGGTGCGAGGCAGATCACTTGCCTTCGCCTTGGCGGTGGCATGGTTGTTGCTGTTTTCAACGGGTGGCACCGCCGCCTTCCTGAGCCAAGCAAAAACAATGCAAGAAGAGTCTCTTTCTTATCGACACCCTTAGGCATGTGCGCTGAGGGTGGCAAAGGCAGCGGAATCTCTTCACTCTCCGACAGTTCCGAGGAAGTGTAGGAGGAGGAATTCTCGGGGCCAACGTCAAGGACTGGACAGGCTCCCGCATCTTCCTTTCGTTGACCACCTTGGTGCTTCGAGGTGGCCAGACTCACAAGGCCAAGGTGCAGGCCTCGAGGAGGCCTTCGAAAAGCCTGAGTACGTGTGGGTTTCCATGGAGTCTGCACCAAGAATTTCAGGGCCCCGCCGGCGTCACGATGTTTGTTGTCGCCGGGGCGAGGCTGTTGTTCTTGTTCGTTGACCTGGATGCCTTTGGCGGAACTGTTGCCTTTGGCATGGAAGGCGAAAGCCTCGCAAAAGAACGAGCAGGCACAGTAAGCTGCAACACTGCAGATTTGCCAGGATTCAAGCTGCAGCTTTTTCTGCCAAAGCTAGGCTGCATGTGGCTGCATAATGCTGCATAGGCAAACAAGTTCTTGATCAAGTGGCTGCCAGGACCCAGGTGGAGGAGCCAGCGGGCGTGCCACAAGTGGACGTGGACCTGCAAAGATCAAAGGGACGCAGAAAGGTTGAACATTCCCTTCACAAACCCGCGCCTGGCTGGGAGAAGTCACCTGGCGGCGGCGCCAGTGGCGGACCAGGTGCCGCTGCCGCTGGTGCTGCTTTTTGCGGACTCGCGCGCGGGCCAGGCGCCGAGGGCGCTGCAGGCGCAGGTGTAACGCCAGCAGGTGGTGCAGGGGCAGAGGACTTCTTCGCGAAGCCTTTTCGGCCTGGGTGAGATGGAATGCATGTTCCGTCTGTGCAAGCTGCATTCATGAGACGAGGGAGTCAAAAGGGCAAGGTGTGAGGAATTGCGCGGAAGACTGCAGAGGCTCTCCGAGCTTTTCCTGGGAAAAGTGATGAGAACCAACATGAACCAACATTGTTCCCAGCAACTGGCAACAGGTTGGCCGCACTACGTCACTGCACCAAGTACCACAGCACTCTCAAGGCAATTCCAGCCACCGAGCAAGCCCGTTTTCTGAGACCACAGCTTGCAGCTGAATCCTGCAGCATTCAGTATTCCACAATTGTACTGAGATCTTTAAAGCCCATGCCTTGTCCACAAGATAAGCTGGCCTAAGCTGATTGTTTGCAGAACCCTTCCTGCCTCTTGGGGTGAGTCGGGTGGAGGCGCTTTACCTTTGGCGTCCGCCCTCAGATGACCAGCGGCAGTACTCAAGCAGTTCTGCTACACCTGGCTAGACTCGGCTAGACCATGTAGCAACCCCTACAGACCATCAAAATTGAACATTGGTGAAACGTGTCCGTGAGAACAACCTTCTGTTATAGCAAGTGATGCGAAGTCCGAGTCATCCCAACTGGTTTGAAGCTTTTGCTTGCAACTGAGGATCTCCTCGACGCTCTCAGCAGAGGGAGCCTTGGACTGCCTGTACAGCAGATGTGTTTTGTGATGTTTCAGAATCGGGACGCCTGGACTACGCGTGGCCTGGTGTCTGCAGCTTTAGCAGCTGCTCTTCGACCTACAGGACTTTGTGACCGACACAATTTCCGCGGCAAGATTATCAGGCAACCAGGATATGAGTTGGAATGTGAGGTCAAGCTTGAACGAATTCAGCCGCCTCCACGACTTCCCTGACGCTTCCTTTCCCGCCGGTCCTTTTGCCACATAGAGCATGGGTCTCAACCAATATGGGACGAGATTCGTAGAGCAAATCAACACAGCTACTCCAAAGCGCTGCACACGATCGCGTCGGCGATCCCGCCGCTTCTCGCGGTCACGTCGCCCCTGCGACTCGGAGACATTGGAAACTGCACGCCTTGCATTTCTGAGAGGACCACCTCATGCTTGCGCCGGCCGCGTGCGTGGTGGCGTCGTTGCACTCCTGCTGGATGGAAGACAGGGTGCAGCTGTCAATGGCGCAGGGGATACCAAGGTTTCAGATTTTTCCGTGCATAGCATAGCTGTCAAGCCAGAGATGCTTGCTGCAACAATCGGAAGGAAGCCTTTGGTGCAATCCTCTCCAGAGGGGCAGCATGGCAAAAAAGATCCGGGTTCCTAGTTCAGCATGACTGAAATACTTAAATCTTGAACGGTTTTTATACCATTTTCATAGCTCCTGCCGTAATCTTGTGTAGACTGCAGGCTTCTTTATTTGGGAAGTTCAGACATTGGAGATCATTGGAGGTTTTCAAGACATTCACTACAAAGTCACCACATCCAGCGTCCTTGGGCTCGAAAACACTAAACCATAAACTCCCCACTGCCCACATGGACTATATTTTAAACTCCTAGTATCTCCCTTAATAATTCCTATACTATTCCCCTATATCATCCCCAATATTCCCCCCTTTAGTTTTTAAACTTTAGCTCACATAATCCCCCACAAGCCCTGCACAATCACAGGAAACAGAACAGCAAGCTTCTCGGATCTCCCGACCGGCGGCCACGCCCAGGACGAGCATCGCTCACGCTCTCCTTGAAACAGTCTCATTCTGCTTCTTTGCAACCCGGTCCAATTCATTTAATACTTGAGAATTATATCTTGGGGACACTGCTGCATTCCACAATAACTGTTCAGACAAGGACACAGCGCGTGGTGAGCTCATTCGGTGGCTACAGCACTCCAGCGCTTCCCCTACGGCCCTGCGTCCACTACAGGCGATGCAGGTACAAGGCCGCGACACTCTCGCTCTCGCTGTCATCCGGCTCGTCCTCTTCCAGGGCCGTCAGCCTGAGGCAGCCCAACATCCAGGTCCGGCCTTCATGAGATCACTGGGTGCCGTACTTCGGCTCCTCACCATACTTTGCACAGATGAGCCGATACAGCTCTCGCTCCTGGCCCTGAGCATGTCTGCAACTTGAAGGTAGCCATGCTATGCATCAAGCAATTGCAAGCTTGCGGAGAGCTTTGCAATGCTTCTGGCTGCTTCTCCCCTGGCCTTGTACTTTGCGAGCAGGTCTTTGACTTCACTGAGCTTGGCTGGGTTACACCGGACATAAACATCCCGGATCAGGTCCACGATCTTCTCTAGGGAGATCTGCCAAGCAGAATGCTTTGAAGAACAGCTTCGCGGGGGTCCAATGCCAGGCCTTGCCTTTTGACCCTGCGGCTTCTGCGCTTCGCCCTCCTCCCCATCCTCTTCCTCCTCCTCGGCCTCATCTTCATCCTTCCCTCCCTCCTGATCCTCCTTTTCCTTCACTGCTGCCTCTTCCTGTCAAAACATTAGACATGCACATAATACCCCAGTGTAGATGCAGGCAAAGGCCTCTTCCTCTTCCGGGTCTTCCTGTGCAGCCTCAATGACATCTCACGATATCTCACGCACGGTCCATACATCCTGAGCTCCCTGCCTGCTTGGCTGGAGGGGCCTGCAGCCAACAAGCTAAGCCAGCACTTGTTGCATGTGAGCTGAGGAAGCAGATCTGCAAGGGCAAACCGCAAAAAGTATGTCTTCTCAGGGAAAGACTTCTTCTTCTTCTTCGTCTTCAGCATCACCTTTGGCATCCTGAGGGTGTTGAAGCTTCCGGACGCAACTGTTCAGGAACACTTGACATGCCGATTGCCATCTCTTGCCGACTTCCATGCTGGGCATGTCTGACTCGATGGATCGAAAAACGAACACGCATCAACCCCCCCCGAAAAAGGTCTGCGTCAAAAAACCTGGCCCCTTAAGTAAAAACATAAGCAACCCGGGAATACGAGCATCTCCGGCGAGATCAAAAAAAACGAAGCCTGCTAGGCTGGCCGCTAATAGGGCAAACGTAAAAATTGAAGTGCTTGCAGCTTCTAAACGCTTGCATTTCACAGCGCCTGTGGCCTTGGAATAATGTACTTTACAGCACTTGCCGGTGCTTTCAACATGGGCGGAGGTCTCTTTTCTACGTGCGGCACTTGCTTTTGGTAGAGGTGCGGCGGTTTTTACCTTTTGGTTTCCAATAACGGAAACGAGACATCTTGGCGCATTTGCGGAAGAGGCAACACCTGAAAATACCTGAAATACAGCTCTTGATGCCCCGTGCAAGCGGTAGAATACTGGCAAAATGAGGAATGATGAAAAACAATGCAAAATCATGGACAATGGTGAAAAGCGATGGAAATGAGGAAAACGATGAGATATGATATGGTGGAAATGATGAAATATGAGGGAAGCATGCGAATTATTGGAATATGACGAAAGTGATGAAGAACGATGGCAACTGGTGAATTACTGATGAAGATGATGAAATTCACGGGAACTGCTGAAAGGTGATAGAACATCATGAAACCTGACATGGTGAAAAATAATGAGCAAGATGACCCAACAGCATGAACAACTATGGAAAACATGGATGGCCTTTCAAAATAAAACGGGGAGGTTGGGGGCGCGCAGCCTGCCCTTTTGCAAACAAAATGATCTGCACAAGCCCTCCTTACTGCAAACATGGTGATGACATGATGCTTCCTTGTTACGACAGGTGCGGATGGCCAAAAAAAAGGTTGGGGGTAGGGGCGCAGCCCACCCATTTGAAACCAACATGAGCCGCATAATCCTTCCATAAACATACTCATGGCATGGCATGATGCTTTTAACGGCGAGCATGGATGGCATTAAAAAAGTGGGGGTTGGGGGTCGCAGCCCCCAAACGCACATGCAAACAACATGATCCGCATAACCCTCACTTACTGCAAACATACTCATGACATGACATGATGCATTTCACGGCGAGCATGGATGGCCTTACGAAACGAGGGGGGGTGGGGGGCCGCAGGCCAGCGCTTGCAATGCAGTAACTCGCGGTAATCGTAGCTTTTCAAGAACCGGAGATGTGTGTTTTTTGAAGTGTGTAGTATGCGTAATCTCTCAACAACGTTACTATCAATAATACTAATAATGCCAATACGAAACACTTTGGAGAAAGTAAACATAAGAGTCATCGTATAATACTAAGACTAATATTGGAACTATTCTGAATATGGATAATAATGGGGGAAGCTAGGTAGCCAGGCAGACCAGGAGGACAAGAAGCCAGGAGGCCAAGAAGACAGTAAGCCAAGAAGTCAGTCAGCCAAGAAGACGGTAAGCCAAGTAGCAAGGGAACCAAGCAAATACAGTAGTATGAGAAAACACAGCATTTGCTGGTGCTGCGGAGCAGCCTTTCCGGCATTTTGGCATGTATTTTTGTTGATGCTTGTTTGCTCATGTTTTTTGATGCCCACTCCCCATCTCAGGTTCTGTCAGTATGAGGGGCATTGAGCAGTTTCAGTTGAAATTTGCGTGCTTGGGTCTGTTTTTTTCTGCAGACTTGCGTTTCCTTTCCGCCGGCTACAGCTACTTGCCACCCTAGTCAGACATTGGAGAGAAATGAGGCACAACAAGGGACTTGCCAAAGGCTTAGGGTGAATGTCACTGAGTTGCTACTTGAGTGGCAGCGCATCATGCTCAGCACTTGTCACTTGTTCTGGCACTCTTTACTTATGTACTCCCCAGCCTTCAACCTTCGGAAAGATCACTTGGCGGGGCATGTGGTTGCAGTTTGGCTTGATTCTTGGAAACTACAGGTAGGATGTGGTAAGACGGTTTGCTCGGGTTTTTCGAAGGTGGGGTGGGTGACTGATGGCGGCGGCGGGCGTGGTAGTGGTAGTGGTGGTGGCGGCGGTGGCGCATGGCGCATGTGGGCGCGGCTGCTGCTGCTCCAACTGGACATGCTAGAAACCAGACACTGGTAACATCAGCAGCAATAAAGCATGGGATGACAGTTCTTCACTCGCGAGCCTCCCCTTCGCTATCCTTGTCTTCCTGGCCAACTGCCTGAACATCCTCACCTTTCACACGTGAAGTCGAAACAGTGCGGCTTCTAGTTCTTTGCCTAGAGCAGTGAGGTAAACCAACAAAGCTCCATAAAAGGGCACAGCGCATGCTTCAAAATTTGCAGTCATGTTGCTGGCCATTGTTGCTATCCATATTCTTCCCTACCGAAAACGGTCAGTGGCCACCCTTCAGATGGCTAACAATATAGCCAGTTCAGGAATCGCCACCAGCATATCCATGACAACATCTTCTGGGACAATCATCACGGAGCCCCTAAATTCGGAAACAAAAATTGGATACTACCATGATGCGAGCTAGGGTCTAAACTCCTACCATTCCCTTGATAACCTCTATAATACCCCCCTACATAACCCCCACATAATGCCCCTTAATCAGAACCCCTTACATAATCCCCCTCAACCACGTGGAGTTCAGACCCCTAAACCCAGACCCTAAACCCTACATAACCCCTAAGGAGTTTAGACCGTAATAAACCCTATAGCCTATATAACCCCCGATAACCCCTTTCAAGGAGTTTAGACCCTAAACCCTACATAGCCCCCTATATAAACCCCTTTAAGGAGTTTAGATTATCGCTGATGCAAGCTTTGTAGTTGCTCAGCTACCGGCTTGCAGGTATTGGCTCGGGCTCCACATCTGCCACGCCCTGCTGACTTGAGGTAACTATTTAGGATTTAGGGTTTTAAGTTCAGGGTCTTAGGGTTTTAGGTTAGGGTTTTAGGTTAGGGTTTCAGGTTCAAGGTTCTAGATTTTCTCCTTTCTTTGATCACGCTGGTTCTAGGTTTAGGGTTTAAGGTTNNGGTTTAAGGTTTAGGGTTAGGGCCAACTACTTGCCACTGGTGAGCAGGGAGAAAGATTTGAAAAGAAAATGGACACTAGCATACCATTGGGAATTACAGAGGGGCTGCTGTAGGGATCCATTC